GGCTTGGCGCAGGCGCAGTGCACCGCCCTGTGTCAGAATGCGGGCACTGAGACCTGGCCGTCCGCAGCGAGGGAGTTCGCGCATGCGCAGTAGGGACCGCGGGCACGCGCGTGGCACCAATGGCAGCGCAGGGCGGGATATTTAAATGGCCCTGAGCTGTCATTCAGTGCCTTCTGGTCTTTCCTTGTATCCTGTATCTGCGAACCTGTGCTAAGTAAGTTACTGACCCGGTGTAATGGACTGCCTGACAGCACCTCTATCAGTCCCCCGATAGAGCCTCCCCAGCGTGCGGAGTCTAAGCACCGGAGCACTTGTTCACCAGGGCCCCTGATGGTGGGGATGGACTTGGAGCGCTCCGGTACCAGGTCGCAACTACCAGGTATCTCCAACAGGGGTAGAGGAGTCTGACAGGGGCTCCAGGGAGCTAGGAGTCTGATGTAAGGGAGCCTAGTGATCCCTGCGGGGTGGATGGATGGATGAGCTAAATCAGAGTCATGCAGGCCGGGACGATAACTAGAGGATCGGTAAGGTACAAAACGGTAGGCAAAGGATAGTCGGGTCACACGCAGGGTCAATACCAGGAGGTCAGATCTAAACGGGAACATCCGGGAGCAGAGTCAGGCAAGCCAAGGGGTCAGGACGGGAGAAGGCAACAAGGTCAAAACAATCCAGATCAGAAGTACTCACACACAGGTAACAGGATACAAAGACCATTCGGCAACAAGTGTCTGTGCAGGGCTAGCTTAAATAGGCCGCCCTGCACCTGACAGGCGTAGCCTGGGTCCTAGTGCCTGTCTAGTACTGTCCAGACGACAGGTACGCCTGGGTCCTAGTGCCCTGCCACCTATACGTCTCGGCAGACACCTACGCATGTGTAGACCCATGCGTCGCGATGGTTCCTGACACCCGGATTGTACCTGACCTTGTTGCCTTCTCCTGCCCAGACCCTTGCTTTGCCTGACCTCTCTCCTGAATGCCCCCGTTTGGATCTGACCTTCCGTTACTGACCTGGCGTGTGACCCGACTACTCTCTGCCCGCTGCTTTGTACTGCTCCGTCCCCACTGTTACCGATCTGGCCCGTTTGACCTTGCACTTGCTCAGCCATCCATCCCGACGGGGTCACCCGACCTCCTCACATCAGGCTCTTCCCTGTGGGAGCCCCTGGCGAATACTGCTACCACTGACAGGCGTGCTCAGTAGCCACGACCTGGTCTCGGGGTACTTCAAGTCCATCCCCACCATCAGGGGCTCTGGTGAACACGTACCCTGGGGTTAGATTCCGTGCGCTGGGGACGTCTGGCCAGTGGAGTGCTAGTGGTACCGCCAGGCGGTCCTTTACAGGGGTGTTCATGCCCTACCCGCACCGTCATTCGCAGCCATGGCTGACAATCACCAGGTCCCAGGCGGTGATTACTTGCTGGCACATGGTGATTGCGAGTATCTCAGTTGGGGGGAAGACCTGTATATAAACAATACAGATCTCTCCCCTGTCAGTTCCTGCACTCTGCTTTGTAAGGCTCTGCATAGCCGAGCCATACACAGCAGTGTGCTTACAGTAAAACACACACACACTTCCCCCATAGTGAACAGCACACAGTTAACCCTTTGATTGCCCCAGATGTTAACCCCTTCATGCCCAGTGCCATTACTACCGTGTCAGTGTTTTTTATTAGCACTGATCACTGGGAACACCAAGTGAGTTCCCCCCAGTGTCAGAATGCCCGCCGCAGTCTCGCAGTCCTGCTATAAATCATTGATTGCCGCCATTACTAGTAAAAAAAAAAAATTCCAGTACCTATACTGCCATTTGTAAACACTATAACTTTCACGTAAACCAATTAATTTTCACATATTGGGATTTTTGTTAGCAAATACATGTAGCAGAATACATTTTGGCCTACATTTATGATGAAATTTGATTTTTACATTTTTTTTACTGGACATGTTTAATAGCAAAATGTCGAATATATTGGGGTTTTTTTTGGTCATTTTTTATTTATAGCGCAAAAAATAAAAGCCACACAGGTGATCAAATACCACCAAAAGAAAGCTCAATTCGTGGGAAAAAAAGGATGTACATTTCATTTGGGTGCAGCATTGCATGACTGAGCAATTGTCAGTTAAAGTAACGCAGCGCCGTAACACAACAAATGGCCTGGTCAGGAAGGGGGGTAAATCCTCTGGAAGGCAAGTGGTTAAAGCAAATGTTTGATAAATAAACTATGGGGTTGATTTACTAAAGGCAAATATACTGTGCACTGCAAGTGCAGTTGTTTTAGATCCAAGGGGAAGCTCTGAAATGAGGCAAAGCTCTGCTGATTTCTTTCTTCCTATCACGTGCAAGCAAAAATTGTGTTTATTTATTTTCCTTGCATGTTCCCCTCAGATCTGGAGCAACTGTACTTTCAGTGCACTTCCAAGTGTACTTGGAGTGCACTTGCAGTGCACAGTCTATTTGGCTTTAGTAAATCAACCCCTATGTGTAGTCATCCCAAGCTAATAATTCTGAACTGAAATGGCTATTGGAATATTAGAGAACCCTGTGTATGGGGGCTCCTAGGGTACTCTGGAGCACAACTCAGGATATATGGAGACACATAATTACATAGTTAGTCTGGCTGAAAAAAAAAGATAAAAGTCCATCCAGGTCAACCAAAAAAAAAAAAGTTTTAATCCTATACCCACAGTTGATCCAGAGATAGGCAAAAAACCCAGCAAAACATGAATCAATTTGCTCCTGCAGGGGAAAAATTCCTTCCTGATTCCCCGAGACCAAGAGGCAATCGGATATTCCTTGGATCAACTTTACCTATAAATGTTAGTATCCAGTTATATTCTGTGTATCTAAGAAAGAATCCAGGACTTTTTTAAAGCAATCTACTGAGCTGGCCAGAGCCAACTCTTGAGGGAGTCTATTACACATTTTCACAGCTCTCACTGTGAAGAAACTTTCCATGTTTGGAGATTAAATTTTTTTTCTTCCAGATGTAAAGAGTGCCCCCTTGTCCTGTATGTTACCTGGAGGTGTCCAACAGAGATGGATTATTAATATGACTATAAGTTTTTTTTAATGTTAGACCATGCAGTCCTTGGTGCATTGACGTTTAATATCTAATTTCTTGCCACACTCATAAAATCACATAGAACAGACAAATACACTAGGATGAGTTTACCCAGAAGCCAACATACCTACCAATATGTTTTGTGAGAGGCAGAATTCCCTGAAAGAAATCCATACTACCACAGGGAAGACAACCTACAAATGTGTTGTACTGCAAGGCATAAGTGCAAACCAGTTCACATTTCACCAAAGTTTGGAAAACATTTCTGAAACACAGTATTTCTGAAAACTATTACAGGAAATTAAAAGCGAAACATTTCAGTGGATACTACAGGCTTATGCTAATATAACAGACATTAGCTACATGGAATTCCTAGTGTCTTACTGCCATGCATGTATAATTGCCAGTGCCTTTCTATAAGAACTTGATCCTGTAGTGACATTTAATAGTCCAGCAAAATCTCCCACTGTGTTCCAGCAGTCAGCGAAGATTATACAGTATCGGGTGCAATACTTCACTTCTCCATAATGAAACATAATATACAGCTTGCCCATTCCAATGGATTACCATTCTGCAAATCTGAAGAAATCAGAGTTAGGCCTGCAAATAAACTTTGCAATTAATTCCTTCTCATGTTCTATTAATTTATTCAAGGGAAATTAGCTTTGGATCTATTAGTGAGTTCTTTTAATTATGACATATACAGTGGGGCAAAAAAGTATTTAGTCAGCCACCAATTGTGCAAGTTCTCCCACTTAAAAAGATGAGAGAGGCCTGTAATTGGCATCATAGGTAGACCTCAACTATGAGAGACAAAATGAGAAAAAAAAATCCAGACAATCACATTGGCTGATTTGGAAAGAATTTATTTGCAAATTATGGTGGGAAATAAGTATTTGGTCACCTGCAAACAAGCAAGATTTCTGGCTCTCACAGACCTGTACCTTCTTCTTTAAGAGGCTCCTCTGTCCTGCACTCATTACCTGTATCAATGGCACCTGTTTGAACTTGTTATCAGTATAAAAGACACCTGTCCACAACCTCAAACAGTCACACTCCAAACTCCACTATGGTGAAGACCAAAGAGCTGTCAAAGGACACCAGAAACAAAATTGTAGACCTGCACCAGGCTGGGAAGACTGAATCTGCAATAGGCAAGCAGCTTGGTGTGAACAAATCAACTGTGGGAGCAATAATTAGAAAATGGAAGACATACAAGACCACTGATAATCTCCCTCGATCTGGGGCTCCATGCAAGATCTAACCCCGTGGGGTCAAAATGATCACAAGAACGGTTAGCAAAAATCCCAGGACCACACGGGGGGATCTAGTGAATGACCTGCAGAGAGCTGGGACCAACGTAACAAGGGCTACCATCAGTAACACACTACGCCACCAGGGACTCAGATCCTGCAGTGCTAGACGTGTCCCCCTGCTTAAGCCAGTATATGTCCGGGCCCGTCTGAAGTTTGCTAGAGAGCATTTGGATGATCCAGAAGAGGATTGGGAGAATGATATATGGACAGATGAAACCAAAATAGAACTGTTTGGTAGAAACACAACTCGTCGTGTTTGGAGGAGAGAGAATGCTGAGTTGCATCCAAAGAACACCATACCTACTGTGAAGCATGGGGGTGGCAACATCATGCTTTGGGGCTGTTTCTCTACAAAGGGACCAGGACGACTGATCCATGTACAGGACAGAATGAATGGGGCCATGTATCGTGAGATTTTGAGTGCAAACCTCCTTCCATCAGCAAGCGCATTGAAGATGAAACATGGCTGGGTCTTCTAACATGACAATGATTAGAGATGAGCGAAGTATTCAAAAATTCGATTTGGCTGATTCGGCGAATTCGAGGAATAAATTCGATTCGAAGAATATATTCGCTGCAAATTTAACTTATAAAAGGGTGTTTCTAGGCTTCAGAGAGCCTTTATATTAGTGCAGAACACTGTACCTTTAATTTAAATGCCCTTGGAGTCTGCTGGGGAAGAGAAATAATACTGTCAGTCAGTATGACATGCAGATGAGTGCCGTCGATCTTAAAATCACCGCACACTTCACTCATTTGGGCAGTCACGGGGCCAAAACCAGAGTGTGGAGCCACAGTGTGGTGGTGGAGGCAGCAGCAATGGAAGGCCATACAGCACCCTATGACAAAAATGGAACCCACCAGCAGTGTGAGGAGACCTGAAAGTGGCACATGGCAGAGTGTGGCGATGGAGACAGCAGCAATGGGAGGCCGTACAGGGACCCATGACACACTCTGGACCTGGCAGCAGCATTAGGAGGCGGTACAGGGGCCCATGGCAGATTACGGGCCTGGCAGCAGCAATGGGAGGCCCGTAATCTGCCAGCACCCTATGACAAAATGGAACACACCAGCAGTGTGAGGAGACCTGAAAGTGGCACATGGCAGAGTGTGGCGATGGAGACAGCAGCAATGGGAGACCGTACAGGGACCCATGAGAGACTCTGGACCTGGCAGCAGCATGAGGAGGCGGTACGGGGGCCCATGGCAGATTACGGGCCTGGCAGCAGCAATGGGAGGCCCGTAATCTGCCAGCACCCTATGACAAAAAATGGAACACACCAGCAGTGTGAGGAGACCTGAAAGTGGCACATGTTTGGGGCATGATTCATGGCGAATTTAGTCAGTTGTGTCAGGAACTGGTGGTTTGAAATCCAGATTAATACACGCCTGATTCATTTTTCACAAACGTGAGTCTCTGCACACTTTGGGTGGACGTTTCGTTGCCCAGTAGTCAAGGGGATTGTCTACCTCGGTTGGCAGGGTGCTGTCCAAGTAGGCCCAAGCCTGTTGTTTGAGGTCCTGCTCAGGTCCACCTGATGCTGCTGCTGCTGCGGCTGGTTAGTAGTTTCCTCACTGCGCTGGTGAAGAAAGCTACTCATCATCGACTGCAGACTGAGGCAGCCGCTGCTGGTGGAGCTGGGCCACTGCTCCTACCACCCCACCCCTCCCCTGCTGTGCCATGGCAGCGGAACGCGAGCGCACAGGGCCCACAGTGTCTGAGGATGGACGTTGGCGCAGAATAGGCAGAGACCAACTGACTACTATTAGGTGGTTTTTATAGTACGTTATTTGGGCCTCCTCTCAGCAGGTGGTGAAAAAGGCCACCATTTTTTGAACGTAGC